CATAGTCAACCGCGGTTTGAGTCCCAGATCCAGCAGCTTAAACTCATGCCAGGCACGTGTGCGTGCATGCCCAAGATCCCAAGGGGAGAGTGGAGGAGAAGGGATTGTGGCGTGGCCATCGCTCCTGGGGGGTGACTTTTCGCTTTCTGTCTCTGTCTCTCTCTCTTTCTGCCAAGCACAAGTGCCCTATAGCAAAAAAAAAATCTTTCTTAAAAAAAAAAATAGTGTGCCCATGGTACATTCTCAGAGATTTTGACTTAAAGTGGAGTCCACTTTAGTTCCATGTATGCTGTTATGTTTAAAATCCTTCTCCCCAGTATCTATATGTATATTCTCTTTACAAAACAAACAAACAGGGACCAGCAGTTAGCGTAATGGCTATGTCGCTGGACTCCCATGTAGTCAATCGCGGTTTGAGTCCCGGACCTGGTGGCTTAAACTCACACCGGGTGCGTGTGCGTGCGTGCCCAAGATCCCGAGAGGAGAATGGAGGAGAAGGGATTGCGGCGTGGCCACCCCCCTGGGGGGTGATTTCCTGCTTTCTGTCTCTCTGTCTCTGTCTGTCTGGCGAGCGCACACGCCCTATAGCAAAAACCTCTCAAAACAAACAAACAAAACGGACCAGCAGAAGCAGATGACACAATGGTTACGTCCTGGACTCCCACGTAGTCAACCATGCTTTGAGTCTTGGACCTGGACCTGGCGCTTTAAACCCACACCAGGCATGTGTATGTGTGGGCCCAAGATCCCACGTGGAGAATAGAGAAGGGATTATGGCGTGCCCATACCCCGGGGGGTTATCTGTTGCTTTCTATCTCTCTGTCTCTCTGGCAAATGCATGCACCCTATAGCAAAAATCTCTCTTAAAAAATACAAATATGGGGCTGGTAGGTTGTGTAATAGTTGAGGTCCTGAACTCCCACATGGCTGACCACGGTTCGAATCTTGCCCCTTTTAGCTTGCTTTCTCACTTTCCTTTTCTCTCTCTCCAATCAAATAATAATAACAAATAAAATAAATAATTCTTTTAAAAAATACAAATATGGGGCTGGTAGGTTGTGTAATAGTTGAGGTCCTGAACTCCCACATGGCTGACCACGGTTCGAATCTTGTCCCTTTTAGCTTGCTTTCTCACTTTCCTTTTCTCTCTCTCCAATCAAATAATAATAACAAATAAAATAAATAATTCTTTTTAAAAAACAAAACAAAAGCTGCTATGGGGTGTGTGCACTCACCAGAGAGGGAAAGTGAGAAAGCTATTCCATGAGGGATAATAATGCTACAATCCCTTCTTCATTTCTCCCTTTGAGATTTTAGACAAGCATCTGGTGTCTTTCTCAAGACATTGAATCTGGGATTTGAACCATGCAGTCGGCCATGCAAAACTGAGTTGCCCTAACTACTATGCCATCAGTTGGCCCCAAAACGTATATTCCTTTTAAATTTTTTAAAATTTAACTTCATTAATTATTATTATTATTTTTTAATTTGACCAGAGAGAGACAGAGAGAGGGAAAAAGAGAAAGTGAGAAAGCAAGCCACCAGGTCCAGGACTTGAACCATAGTGGGCTATGTAGGAGTCAAGTGCCCTAACCACCATGCCACCTGCCAGCCCCTGTGTATGTGCATGTATATATATACACACACACACACACACACACACAATATATATATGTATTTAGGTTTCTGCCATAGGGTGCCTGCATTCACTGGAGAGAGACAAAGAAAGAAAGAGGGAAAGTGAGAAATCACCCCCCAGGAAAGATGACCACACTGTGAACCCTCTCCTCCAGTCTCCTCCTGGGATTTTGAGCACACACACACACACACACACACACACGTCTGGCATGATTTTCAAGTCACTGGGCCTGGGACTTGAACCAGAGTCCACCATCTGGGAGTCCTGTGCCTTAACCAGCACACTACCTGCTGCCCCTTTCTCCCCAATGTATACTCTAATGTGTACTCCAAGTTTAAAAATGTTAAGAAAGGTGGTGAGGGAGTAGACTTCTTTAACTACTCAAGATTAATCTAGGACTTCGGTTGGCAAGAAACGGTTTCAAGTTTGGAGGGCACACGTGCAAGCACGGTTGCGAACCCAGTTTTCTGCCTCC